AAAAAAATTTTTTTTTTTCTAAAAAAATTTTTTTTCCCCCAAACCTTTATTTTTTTTTTTGTCGGGAAAAAAAAAAAAAAAAAAAAAAAAAAAAAACTTCCACAGAACTTGTTAGGCCTGTCACATAAACTGACCCAGTAATTATTGCGATAAACGATAATATTGTTTTTTTTTTTAGACCATTTTAAGGAATATATCAATAATAGTGCAACAATGGGAAGTTTGCCAACTCTCAAAGACTACCAAACTTTTATTTAGTAAAGAACGCTTAGCACTAGAACTGGAAGACATTTTAAATATCCAAAATAAAAACACAACAAACAATAATAAATGAAAATATAAATAAAAAAAACCACACACAACTAAAACTCTAAATAAAATGGATTATGATGTAAAATGTTAATCATCAAATGGAAGCAGATCTCATTTTAATTGCTCATGTGACTCATTATTTTAGCACTTATTAAAGTTCCTTCATTTTTTTCAAACAACCAAACAAAAACCATGTAAATAGTGTGTAATGGTTGTTATGGGTCTTTGCCATAGATTTATTTTATTATTTTTCTTTACATTTTTCTACTGTTCAGTAAGAAAAAGAAAGGCTTCCATTTCATTCGTGTCACATTCAAAATGTCATGAAATATTAATTAAAAATTCTTAGAAACACCTAAAAAAAATAAAGGTGATGCACAAAAAGCTTCAGGTTTGAATCTTGTACTCTTTCTTTGGCACAACCCATTTGTACCAGAGGTCGATTTCTACCCGTTGTTAGATTACAGGCAGAAACGACAACGAGGAGAAGCTGATAGCTCTGTTTACATTCGAGCTGGGAAGGCCTCTGAAGCCTCATCAGATACAGCATCTGTTTACAACACGACAACACAGCCGTCAAATTAGGAGCGAGGGTCTGAAGGCAGCCAAATCCTGTTTTTTTTTTTGTTTTGTTTTTTTCCTGAGACAATCCCCTGATTTGAATGCAGACAGCGTTGCTATCTTGTCACACAACAACACTCTCCCCTTTGACAACCACCACTTTTGTCTGTCAGCACAGTCAGCTCTCGTGCGTTTTGGTAAATGAAATCATCCCAGCAGACAGAACAGAAACGTGGGTGATTCACAACACAGCCGGTCTAGATCCGATCTAGAGGTTAGTTGGGGGTGAACACAGACTTCTAAAACCGGACCAAACGGTTTAGCTCAGAGCCTCGCAGTGAGAATAAAAACGCCTATAGACGGACCGTATAGCTGCGCTAATCCCAATCTGTGTAAACAAATGACAATGCTGCTGCTGCAGCTACTAGTTTAATGACTGTTAGAGGGGATGATAGCTTCATGTATTTAAAAAGGTATGGCAGAGGAGCTATAGAAACAGGCTATGTTGTAAATACATATATGCTCCCAAATGGCCGATTACGCCACCGGATCCATTCCATTTTCATGGAAATACCCAAATATTTAGTTTTTTAAATTGGGAATTTTTGGAATCTTGGTTCCCCAGTTTTCACCAGATTCATTTTTTTTTACATCTACACCATTAGTGCCATTGGAGTATTTAGTGCCAGTGGAGGGGAAAAACTTTGTTATGATGTGCAACACTGCAACCACTTTTATTTTTGGTTCTCAACAGATCAAAATGGAGTAATCACTGACCCAAATGTGCAAAAGTGTTAGCATGGGGCCCCACACATAGAAGCAATAACTTATCATAATACTTCTACACACTACACCATGTCCACTTGTTCAGGCTGGTGGTGGATCTGTCATGCTGTGGGTCTGCTTCTCTCTCTACAACACTGCTAGGGTGTGGGATATCAGCCAATTTTAAATAAGAAAACTGAAAACGAACCATCACTCTATGATACAAGTTAAAACTTATGTACAAAAAATTTAATAAATCACTGATATTTTGCTACTACAATCAGATCAGTGGTCGGCTGTGAAGATTGCTCAGTTCAGATTGTAGGTAGAAACAATGGCAAGAGGCAGCTGATTACATCAGAGCTAGAAAGGCCACTCAACAGATATAACTGTTAACAACAATAGTAATAAAATAACACAGCCATCACATTATGAGTTTTAGTTCACTTTTTCTTGCCTGATTTAAATATGGACAGAAGCGCCACCGTTTAATAAAGTGCACTGTTTCTTTTAGTTTATTGATCAATACCTAAATTACCATTTAAAGACTGTTGTCTTTGCTGGGCAGTGAAACTTTAGGATCTCTAGAGAGCAGCCATGCTGATGATAATATTAAATTGTAGCGACAATTAATAATACAGTCCTAAGCCTACCGTTCTTCTTCCATCAGAAATATGCTCACGTTCATTTAAAAAAATGCATACCAACAATATCAAAATATTTTAAAACAGACTAGGGAAAAATTAGGCTGAATTAATACAGAAGACTGAGGTCGGACAGTATCAGAATGGCACTCAGAACGCTACAGTGAAGCTAGCGATAATGCTAGCATGGGGCCCCATAACTTGCGCAAACAAAGACACTTACCTCAATTTACGTCGAGCCTTCCCGTCATTTATCGGTGTCCGTGTTGTGGGAAAAGGTGCCAGTATCCGAAAAAATGTTTTCGAGAATTAAGTAGCGGCAAGCTGGGCAGCTTTCAGTTACGAGTTTGCCACGGGTTAGCAGCTAGCTAGTGGTGCCCACTTAAAGAACAACTTGAAGCTGGCCCACTGCGCACATTTCTTCTTAATCAGCCGTCCTCGAGTTCTTCAGCTGTTTTCGCACTTTTAAGTGTTTTCCTCCCCCAATGGCTCTCAGACTGGTTAAAGACAAAGACCACGGCGAAACCACCCGCGACTGGAGCGAATTAAAGACGCGGAACATCAAAAAAAATCCAAGATGTCCACGACAATCAGTAAGGAAATACAAAAGGTAAAAAAATGCGTACGACCTCCGGGCTGAGCGAAACGTTTTCCTCTAAAGCGTGCCGCACCCAGATGTTTTCGCTCATAATTTCCTTGTGTTTAATCATTGGCCATAGTCGCGGCTGTAAGGCAGTCGCTCGGAGCTACATGGAGGCTGGTAGGAATCCAGATGATGAGGTGAGTTTCGTCTCCGCGACCTTTACGTGTAGGAGACGGCTGTCTGCCAGAAGTCGCTTTTCCAGCTTCAGCCAAAGCCGCTTCGATGATGCTTTCACTGTCTCACCCAGAGTGTGTGTTTGTGATGATCCCCATGTTCCGCCCTAATGTATCCTTCCTTGCTCAATACGGATCCACCTTGACTAAATACAGCAAGTGTGTGTGCATCCCGCTGTAAATGATGTTTTAAATCCCGTTTCCCAAATATACAAAAGGTGTTTGCACCATTATGTGACGAGACTTCGAACACCGGTAGTGTGCTGGGGCCCCCTGCTGGAAATCCCATATATCGTCTTTAATAAATGGCTCTTCATATGGATACTGCAGTTCTCTAAACAGATTTTGGTCTCTTTCTAATGCTGTCAACATTGGTTATATGTAAAAATGTAGAGTTTAAGGATGTTTATGCATTTCTTGTTCCATAGAGTTATTTTATGTTTTTTATTCTTGTATTTATATGTGACTTAGTGTCAACCTGCAATGGAACGAGATACGGAAATTAGCCTCTGGGCTATAATGTCATGTATTTACATGTAAATGGTCATTAAAATGTACTGCCCCATTTTGAAAAAATAAAATAAATTTGAACCTCTGAAACACACTAAACTGCCTCATCAGTCTTGATCTTTAAAGTTTGTCTTTCAGTCATATTTCTTACACTGAAGCACATTTTTATTTTTTAATATCAAAGAACACATTTTCATATTGAAATGGTCTCAAATGTCTTTTATGTTCATTTTACATTTTAAAATTGTTTCTACTTATGATGTTTTCGTATCAGTCAGTCCTTTGCACTGAAAGAAAGCATCCTGGCATGGCTCACGTCCAAGGAAGCTTTTCAGCATGTCCATCCCGTCCACCGCGCCTCCAGCTTCTAGTATCACCCTCCTGTACTCTTTCCCGACCTGACAAGACACGCGTGAAGACGTTTTACACGATACAAGATCGAGTGCAAATAAGATTTAAGAAGCGAGCTAACCAACTAACCTTTGGGTTCATAATGCCTTCCTTTTTAAAACGACTGAAAAAAATGTCCATTGAGTAGACTTCGCTCCACAGATAGCTGTAGTACTGACCATCGTATCCTCCAGTCAAGTGGCTGAAACTGGCTGTCATATTGGTTCCTGCAGAAATCACACACATATTTATTGACGTATTTGACAAAAAGAACAATGCAAAATAGTTTCACAAGAGCTGGCTAGTCATGCAGAGGAGTACTGGGATGAAAAGTGATGGAGCATTGTCCTGCACAAGCATCAGTCTTTTTCCAAAGATCCAGACTTCTTTTTGTCTTGTAATAGCTAGCAGAAGGTTTGAGAGTTGATTTTGAGTCAATATTTCAATCTGAACTGGCTCATCGTTAGTAATACCAACTCATACCTCCACCTAGCTGGTGTCTGATTCAAAAAGGATCTTTGTGCCCATTATTGATCCACCCACCATTTGGTTCGTCAAGAGTCACTCTCATTTCATAAGTCAAGTCAAAGTTCATAAAACCTCTAGATAATTCTTAGCCCAGTCTAGATGCTTCAGTTTATGTTTTGTTCAGTGGTGGTCAAGTTTCAGCTTTCCTTATGTTGGCCATGTCTCTTAGCTCTGAACATCTTATACTTGTTGGTATTCCGGGAACATTGCAGTTATAGGACATGGCAGGGCTGGAAGATGATGGGTCACTGACAGCTTCACACTTAATTCTTCTCAAATCTTTGGTAGTTAATTTATGTCTTTTTCTCTCAACAAGTTTCTTGCAGAGCTATCCAGGGTGTACTCCGCCTCTTGCCCATTGACCGGTGGAGATAGGTACTAGCACCTCTCACAACCCTTCTAGAGATAAACCTGTTTGATAATGCATGGATGGATGAAGTTTCTTGCAACCCTGTTGACTATTTCCTAAAAAAGCTTGATGTTCTCTGATCACTTCCCAATATCTTAGCAATTTTAAGAGTGCTGCATACCCCTGAGAGACTTTTGATCATTTTTACTTCTCAGAGTCAAGCTAAGCATGGCTGAATAAGATACGTCTACAGTAGTCAGTGTTCTCTCTAGTGCTATACAACTTTAACAATCTAGCTGTTGTTAGTAGAACTGACCAGGTGTAGCAGGAACACCGAGGATGTCCTGGCAGTGCTGTGCAAACACCTCAGCTGTATCTGCACTTGGACAGGAGTGAAGGGACTGGTCCACTTTACTGAGGACAACCTGCCGCAGGTTCATCAGACCTAAAAACAACAATATCAAATTGAGAGAGGTTCTAAGCATGCGCCTTACAGAGAGTTGTAGGTTTCAGAGAATTCGGAGCGTCTGACCCGTGTTTGCTACTCTGGACGCAATCAGTTTGTCGAGCAAATCATCCGGGACCGGAGTCCCATCCTTGTAGTGGCTTGACATCCTTCTTAGTGGCTCCTTCTCCCAAACCCAGTTCTCCAGCATCTGGGACGGCACTTCCACAAAGTCTGTTTCCACCTGAGTACCCGTGAATTCTGAAAACGTGGTCTGTGTCAAACAAGCGCAGAGGTTAATCCTCTATTACTGGAATAAAACTAAACCATACATAGAATGCAACAATACTGAAACTGCAAATTGAGGAATTTACACCTTGGAGCAGAGCTCATGCATCACGTGGCCAAACTCATGAAAATATGTCTCCACTTCATGGTGTTGGAGGAGGGAGGGCCAGCCTTTTCTCGGCTTTGTAAAGTTAGCCACCATAGCAGCCACCGGAAGCCTGCGTTTTCCATCAGGTCCTCTGCATCCTGGCAGGAGGCCAAAGCAAGCAGCGTGGCCATACTTCCCTTCCCTAAAGAACATTCAAGTCAGCTTTTACAAAACTAGAATCAGAAGCTCAAACATTTGGAGTATGCTATGACAGAACTTTAGAGCATAAGGATAATTCAGCGTTTTTAGAAGTTGACGTTGACACCATCTTTACCTTGGGTGCAAGTCCAGGTAGAACTGTCCAATCTCCTCTCCCGTCTCAGAGTCGTGGGCTGAATAAAGCTTGACATCTTCATGCCAAACATGAGCGCCCTTGACCTCTTCAAAGGTGAGGCCCAGCAGCTCCTGGTAGATACCAAACAGCCCTCCTGTTACCACCTCCAGGGGGAAATACTCAATCAGTTTGTCTTTGTTTACAGCAAACTTGCACTGCTCCACTTGGTTCATGTAGTAAGGCAAGTCCCAGGCATTGATCTGCCCATCGAACTGGAAGCCCTTCATCAAGCACTCCCTCTTCTTCAGTGCAAGGATGTACTTTCTTTCCTTAATTCCAATGGGTTTTAGTCTGTCGTAGAATGCATCTGCAAAAAGTGGAAAGGTGAAAAGGTTTAGCAGACTAACATCAGTGTGTGTGTGATAAATTTTCAGGACTCCAAGCAGTCAATTTGACAGCCTCCCCATGGTGTTTTGTGATCTTTTTTTTTTTGTACCATACAAGTTTCTTGTGCATCAAAAAAAAAAAAAAAAAAAAAACCATAAACTTTATGGCCGCCCCTACAGTTAAATGCAGAGAACAATTGTTAGAGATCACGGATTTACTGTGGAATTTGGGGATATATAAATGTGATGAAGTGAAGGAGTTATTGTGCTAATACTGACTAGCTTAAATATTTAAGCATCTCACCTTCTACTCTGTAACTTCAAAAATAATGGGGAGCAAATTTTTTTCACCACATCCACTGATAAGTTACAAATTATGATATTCTGGTAAAAAAAGACTAACGAAAACATATGTAAAGTTAACAAGCTTCCACAAGAATTATCTATCAAATGCAAGTAACTGATGTTTCCTGAGAACCAGATATCCATCTGTCCCTTATTTTCAATGTTCTTTTCTTTTTTCTTTTTTTTACAAATAAAAAAATCAGCAGAATTACGCTTTTAGAGTTTTATTACAATATTTAATATATAACTTTTTTTCTTTTAATTTTAACTGCCTTTGAAACTGTCGCCCTAAAAGATGGCACATGATGCATCAACCGTGATGCCCAAAATTCCACTTCTTTTCATAAATTTATAAGTTTTTAAAAACATTTTATTTGTATGTGTGCATCTGAAGGCCTGACTGTGCGCCTAAACAATAAATTAAAAAAATGGCAAGAATATTCTCTTGTATCATTTTGTGTAAACTACCTCAAAAACCCTCAATGTTTAGTTTGTGCTGAAAATACTCTAACTCTCCACTAGAGACCGCTGTAAGCACATTATGTAGAGCCAAGAACCGTGAAAGGCTTCATTAATTTCAACCATACAGATGTATTCAATGTATCCAAAAGTAAATCCAATAGCTTGAACAGCAGACATTGTGTATAACAGCTATGCTAATATTTAAACGTCTGTGTGAGGAGATTGCTTTGCTTTAAACGTCTTTCAACCTCCAGGCTTTCTATTGGCTATCAGCATGTCATGTGACCAGAAACAAAGCAAATCGGTTTCTTTTTCACGCAAGCTTTTAGTTTGATTTGGCTCATTCATCTTAATTTTCCACTGTAAAACAACATCAGTGATTGACAAACAACAATTTCTATTTACATTATTTGTTTTGTGTGAGTGATAAAATGTTAAAGTTTGTGAACCGTGAATCAGAATGTGGTGGTCCAGATTTATATGGTCTCCTCACCAGTTATGTGGTATCGCTTCTCGGCCTTTTGGCTAAGATCAAGTGTAGTATCTGTTCTTATCAGTTTAATATCTGATACGTCCCCTACCCGGGGACCATATATTAAATTGATTTTTGGAGCAGGGAGATGGAATAGGGGCTTGCTCCGTCCACTCCACGCATCGACCTGGTATTGCAGTACTTCCAGGAACGGTGCACCCCCCTCATGTGTAAAATGAAAATAATACACTCAAGCTGTCTACAAGCCTAATTGAATCCCATGAAGTTTTGAATTTAAAAATGGCAACTTTTTTTGCTATGAGCCAATTTTAAGACAGGTTGACAATGAAATGCTGTGGACATGTAATATATCCTAAATGAAAACATAATACAGAAATTAAATACATTTATGTATTAACTTCACAGTAAAAAAAAAAAAAAAGTCAAATCTTTCTTTGAGTTACATCACGACAGTGAACACATAGTGTTGCAAAATCTAAGCTAACTTAACGCTTGAAAGAACACTTTTACTGCTATATGCACATTAGGAATTTAAATGGGCAGACAAACAACAAAAACACAATGACACTCTTGGAGAGAGCATCCTAAATTTTATGAGGGTAAGGGTTAGGGTTAACCCAAAGAGTGAAATCGCTCAAAACCTAAGGGTAAGAGAGATAAGGGTAAGGGTTAAAAAT